AGGCTGGACGAGACAAGGGAAGCAAAACTAGAATCACTCACATGAGACATGGATCTTCAAAGTAAAACAGGAAACACACTGACTGAACTCTAAACATGCAAACTTAACAGCAACAGAGAAGGCAGAACATAGGGACCAGAAACATGGGACAGAAAGGCAAAATAGACACAACGTGGACATAACAACGCCACAGGGAAAGAGTAAAACAAAACACAGAACCTCTTAGAAAATAAAATAGGAAACATAATGAAATGCAGACATGACTACTTGACAACATAACAGACATGAAACACATGAAGGGCAAGGGAGACTTAACAGGGGTTGGAAGACACAAGAGGAATCTAACAACAAAGAACTAGAAAAACTCATGAGCTTAATCATATAAACATCCAAATACCCTAAACTCAAAACACTGGGTCATAAGACCCAGGATCGTGACATGTATGTGCATTTATCATTTATCATTTTTAGTTCACACTGACTTCACTTCCTTCCTGTATTTTCCTTCAAGGGAATTCATATTGCCTGTTAATTGAGCAGTCCATGAGACTTAAGTGAGAATGAGAGTCACTTTTTTTTCCTAGTATACATTCCTAAGATGATATTAACAAACTCGGGGTTGTTTTAATTATAATTCATTAGGTTTTTAATGTTTTCAGCACTGCAACATCAAAATAAGGTTTGAATAAGAATATAGTGAGTAGTATGGGTTTCAACTAATTCATTCATTTTTCTGCATATTGACACATATTAGTGTGATCCCATCAAAAGATGGTTTATGTTGTTACACATATTGTTAAAGCAAGATTTCTTATTTTAATAGCATACATTATTGTCACATTTAGACAACAAATGAAACCTCACAGGAGAAGTTGTTACTTGAAATAAGTAGAAAACTAAATAAGTAAAGTGGCTACTTTTTTTAAATTTTATCTACAGGGTCTTTGCAAGACAGACACATTAAAAGTGGAGATGTAATCTGTGCTATTTTTACACCAAATGAGAATTTGGAAACGTCTAAAAATTTCAAGCAAAGGGTCATTGAAACCCAGGGAACCGATACTGTTCGATGTCATATCATGCTCAAGGTGAGTTTAATTAATACATATTCTCTTTTTTTGCCTAGCTGAGTTAAGTAAAAGGTTTGCATTTTAAATAGTTTAGCAAGATGAGTGATATTGAAAAATAGAGGATAACTCACAATTTTTGCTGCTGGCTTCTGGAAGGTCAACATTTTTACAAATTTAAATTATTGTGTTGGTTACATGATATACTGCTCAAAAAGGTAACACCTTTTAAACAGAGAGGGTTGTTAATCAGTTTCAGCAGTTGGTGGCATTTTGCTGTTTGCCAACTGCCAATAAATTATAAAAAAAGAAGAAGAATCAGTTTTAGCTGCTTTGATATTTATGAAATTAACAATAGGTGTACTAGAGGGACAACAGCGAGACCACACTAAGGTGGAGGCAAGGTGGTTCTACAGATGGAGGCAACTGATACTTTTTTGTCCTCTTCATCCTTTCGAACTGTTACTACTGGTAGCATGAGGTGATACCTGGAACCCACAAAGGTTGCACAGGTAGTTGAACTCCTTCAACTGCAATGGTACATCAACATGTGTCATTGCCAGAAGGTTTGCTGTGCCTCATGGTCTCAAGACCATGGAAGAGATTCCAGGAAACAGACAGTCACCCTAGGAGAGCTGGACAGGGCTGTAGAAGGTCCTTAACCAATATATTAATTTTGCCAATATATAATATTAGCAAAATGGACTAGGCTGCAGTATAATTTTTCACTTATTTTCCGAGGTGTCTTTGAATTCAGTCAGTAGTTTGATAATTATCCATTCATCCATCCATCCATTCTTCCGCTTATCCGGGGCCAGGTCGCGGGGGCAGCAGCCCAAGCAGAGAAGCCCAGACCTCCCTCTCCCCAGCCACCTCCTCCAGCTTGTCCAGGGGAACACCAAGGCGTATAGATATAATCACTCCAGCGTGTCCGGGGTCTGCCCCGGGGCCTCCTCCCATGGGACATGCCCAGAACACCTCACCCAGGAGGCATCCTTGTCAAATGCCTGAACCTGGCAAACTTCTCACCCTATCTCTAAGGGAGAGGCCAGCCACCCTTCGATGGGAACCACCCCTTTCTTAAAGATGGTGATTCCCATCTTTCCATACTCCAGGAGTATGGGGTGTCTGGCCCATTGCTACGGGCCATTCAGTCCTTATACAACCGTTGCAAGAGCTTGGTCCGCATAGCCGTCAATAAGTCAGACTCGTTCCTGGTGGGTGATTGGCTCCACCAGGGCTGCCCTTTGTCACCAATTCTGTTCATAATTTTTATGGACAGAATTTCTAAGCGTAGCCAAGTGGCGGAAGGCTTTC